CCAAATTGTGAACTGTCCGCGCATTTCTACAGGGACTTCGATCAGATTTCGATCAATTAGTACTGAGGAGGGAAAAGACACGGATATCTGAAACAACTGTCAAACAGAAAGAAAACGAATGTTCGAAATTCGCGACAAGAAAAAGGTTTTGATTATGATATATCTAATCGAACCGAGTTTTCATGCCGTCAAGAGCTTTGAAAAGCGAATCTACCAAGATGGTCAACAAAGAAAATTGTTAGAAACTAACGGATCAGTAATGCCACAGGGAGCTGAGTATGTTTTACGACTATGAGTCCGTGAGTAGTATAAATGTAACATTTAAGAAATGACAACTATTATTACGACGCTGATCAGCAACACTAAAGAATGGATTCCAAAGATGTGGTCTGAAAATGGCAGTTGTCTGCAACCGAAGTTTAACCGTCGGAGAGTGGTGCTTACTTTATTAAACGTTCTTTAAATTCAAAGCAGACTCGACGTTCAAAATTAGATAGTTTTTGATTAACAGATACAACAATATGAGTGCACAGAAAGGTCTGTGGATTTTTCTTTTCAAAAAGCACAATCGAAACTGGAAAGCACTCACTTCCCATTTCGGTGCACGCATTTCGGCGGTTAGTTCAGCCATCACATCGCAACACCGCTTATGGAAGGCCTGGATGACGATTTGAGTCATTTAAAGTTCTAAAGCTGTAGATGCTGTTATACAAGACGAAACACATTGTTTTTTGTCGCAATCAAAACCAGTAATAATATTATACCTGAGCAGCACGACTGATTCCACGATGAGTGATTGCACATAAAGGGAGGCGAATGTTCCGACGAATAGCAAGGTCTGAAATGACGAGGCGCTCTAGAGCCGAATCGTCAAACATATGATGCAGCTGAAATAGAAACGTATTTCTACAACGACATAGTTCACGATGAGGGCTTCATATCGATATCAAAAACATAATGTCTAAATGAATGAAGAGATGTAAAACCAAAACTAACCAGAGCTACACTTGGTTCTATGCTCACATCCTGCGCAGGACAACACATAACAAGTTCGGGCGCTAACGCCTCCAAGGACTGAATGGAGCAGTGATTACACAAAATCAGCTTGTTCGATGGATACGCCTAAATGTGCAATACTTAAAAATGGTGTTTTCCATAAAAGCATATTCTTAATCTCCGAAGTAGCGTGTCACTCGAAACTGAGTACAACACCACTCTGCGGTGCGATCAAAAAGGGGGAATCATAAATTGCTACAAAACAGAAAAGTACTAATTCTCACTTTATCGATGAGCTTGGCAAGTGTACTGGCCGTGACAGTGTGAACCCTGTCAATGACCACATCGCTGACAGCTCTGAACGAGGCAGCGAGAATATTCGAAGCTAAAACTTCGTCTAGTGGAACATCACAGAGCTTGAGGGAATGGCAGACGCATACGTGTCTATAAAAGAATCAAAAGCAGGACTCAAAGGCTATAACTGCGGTCACTTACGAAAAAACTCTTATCAGCCGGAAAATTTATTTGCCGACGATCTGATTAAGGATAACCATCTAGTCAAATAACAAACCTCATGATATTTGGAAGACGGGTGGCCGGAACCATGATCTCCACTTGCTTTAGAGGGCGGCAGAGGGTAACATAAAAGCTAGAGCATGTGAAAGGGTGACTTTCTTCTGAAGAATCCACTAGGTAGGATTCGGTGAACTTATGACCGTGCAATGACGGTGCCCGGAGTAAAACGGGCACCTGGTCAGAACGTGCCTTTCACGTTGCCATCACCTCGCCTGATCTCAATACCACCAATGATGTTACGCCGTACTAAAACATGAGCTCTCTTCTCGACTAGGGCGCAAAGACGATGATTCACCTTCAAATACAGAACTGGAAGCTCTCGCTCAGATTGAAATGACTTTTATTTACAACATAACAAAAAAAANAAAAAAAAGGACAAAAAGTCGAGGCAACCTACTGCCCGCATGTTCATTTTCGACGAGAAGTCACAGTACGAGATAATCTTCAGGAGAATTTCGTTAGGTAGTTCTTCCAGTCTGAAAGGTACAGAACTCGGTGAGAATCTGCATAGATATAGAAGAACGTTGAGGCTCGAAGTGAGACCAGACTTTTGAGGAGTTCGGGCGAAAGTGGATAATTTAGTGCACAAAATATGTAAGAAAAAATGGAGGAGAACAAAAAAGAGAGAAAAATAACAGGCGTTTTTACATTTGATCGCATTTGAAAATTCAACGATTCTCTGAACTGGAGCGTATTCGAACGTCTCTCGAATTTTGCTTACTATCCTCAAACTGCTCCGCAACAGTACTGGTCAACATCGAAATGTTTTACCATAGTAAGTGAATATTGCCAATTTTCAAACGAAGAGGGAGAATTCGAATAGCCAATTCGAATACAAAAACGAGTATTGAATCCCTCATGGTGAGCTCGTTAAAAAAAGTAATTACCAAAACAATTTTGGCAAATGAAGGTACCTTGTTACTTTTCTTGCAGCGTTCAGTTCCCTTTGACAGCAGAATAAAATTGAAGACAGAAACCAAGCAAGTGCTTCGAAAACCTTAGATGATAAAGTTAGGAAGTAAAAAAATGCCAATCATCTACCGTCGCGTCAGTCACCTTTCTAGACAGCTTCCTTGCGGTGAATTTTGATGACTTCTTTGATGTGAAAGGCACGTTATAGGTTGTATAAATCTTTTGTTCCATCTGCTGAATGCCCTGAAACAGTGAGATCACCGAGATATTCAAGTTTGTTGTTCATTATTAGATTATTCTTCGGCATTAATTTCGATTTCCATACGCAATAAATGGCGGTAGGAAATGAAGTTGCGGGATGAAGAGGCCACCGCTCCTATCCAACACTGAGCGTTAGAGACGGAGGAGCAGTACCCGACATTATTATTGCTTGGAGACGGTTTATTCGAAGAAATACCTTTCCACCAAAGCCTCAGGAGGGAAAGAGCACCGGGATGGACTAGACGATTACCGCGTGTAAGTAGCTATGGTAATGTAAGAACTGAACATTTAATTGACCAACCAACGTCGGTGCTTCTTCCCGCCCAACGCTTAGTATAAAACTATGCTTTCTCTTCTAAGAAACATTCCTGAACACCGTTGTGGGCTCCCAAAGTGGACTAGTGGCCCCAACTCAACTACATTTTCATCACCAATGCCAGTCGAGTTCGAGCAGATATACAAGAAACAACTTGAGTTTAGAAGCAATAGTATAAGCTGATAACGGCATCTCCAGTCCACTTTTTGTCCTACATATAGAAACCCACCCATATATATCGACTGAAAAAATGCTGACCCAGCTGCCAATATCTCCGCCAACAAATTTCAGAATGTACCGACGAGGTTATAAAGGAAACAATATAAATAACGAAGAAAAAGCATAGTTGAAACAAATTATACTATAACTCTGATTTATCTTCCTATACGGTATAGGAAGGTAAAGGGTGTGCATCCTTCCTTCACAAGATGTTTCTGCTACATTTGAACATAAGGTCATGGACAAGTTCAGCATGCTAAAGATGAGAGGGGGTACAGCGGCTAATCTGAATTCAGACCACAAGTTTACGAGCATCTGTAGTTACAAAGAACACCCCTACGTTACATCAGAAACTTGTCTGTCAGGAAGGAAACGTTCACTTCTGCCAGAGACCTCAAACTCAATACAAAAATCATGTTTTCGTGCTGGGACGTACGCCGATTTC